GACTATCATGTCTAGAATTAGCTTTCCTCCTACTCCTACACATTTTGTTTTTTTGAAGAGCAGTTGCAAAACACAAAATTGGCTTAGAAAATCTAAGTTCAAAACATTAAAAATAGGTTAAAACCCCTTTTTGGTCCCTGGACTATTGTACGGACCCCCGATTTGGTCTCTGAACTAAAAAAATCCCTGATTTGGTCCCTACTGTTTACCATTTTTACCCTGATTTGTTCCTTCCGTCAAATATCAACCTACGTGTCCCGTTTCTTGACAGAAAATGATGACATGTAAAAATATTTTTACACCTAAGATGCACAGTGTGACAAAAAAATGAGATAGCAAGAAAAACAATCTTAAAAAATTTGTTTTTCTTTTTTTTTTTCTTTGTTTGTTTTTTCTTTTCCCCTTTCTTCTTCCTCTCCCTTTCCTTTAACCTTCTGCAAACCCGAACTCCTAATATTAAATTCGAGGATAACACAACAAATCAACAGATTAAACTCAATAGATATTTGACCCAACGACTGCTGGGTTCGAAACGAAACCCAGAGCCTCAAACCCACCGTGTGCTGGGTTCGATTTCGAACCCAGCACCTGCAAACGAACCCAGCACCTGCAAAAACCCAGCACCTGCAAAAACCCAGCACCTGCAAAAACCCAGCACCTGCAAAAACCCAGCACCTGCAAAAACCCAGCACCTGCAAAAACCCAGCACCTGCAAAAACCCAGCACCTGCAAAAACCCAGCACCTGCAAAAACCCAGCACCTGCAAAAACCCAGCACCTGCAAAAACCCAGCACCTGCAAAAACCCAGCACCTGCAAAAACCCAGCACCTGCAAAAACCCAGCACCTGCAAAAACCCAGCACCTGCAAAAACCCAGCACCTGCAAAAACCCAGCACCTGCAAAAACCCAGCACCTGCAAAAACCCAGCACCTGCAAAAACCCAGCACCTGCAAAAACCCAGCACCTGCAAAAACCCAGCACCTGCAAAAACCCAGCACCTGCAAAAACCCAGCACCTGCAAAAACCCAGCACCTGCAAAAACCCAGCACCTGCAAAAACCCAGCACCTGCAAAAACCCAGCACCTGCAAAAACCCAGCACCTGCAAAAACCCAGCACCTGCAAAAACCCAGCACCTGCAAAAACCCAGCACCTGCAAAAACCCAGCACCTGCAAAAACCCAGCACCTGCAAAAACCCAGCACCTGCAAAAACCCAGCACCTGCAAAAACCCAGCACCTGCAAAAACCCAGCACCTGCAAAAACCCAGCACCTGCAAAAACCCAGCACCTGCAAAAACCCAGCACCTGCAAAAACCCAGCACCTGCAAAAACCCAGCACCTGCAAAAACCCAGCACCTGCAAAAACCCAGCACCTGCAAAAACCCAGCACCTGCAAAAACCCAGCACCTGCAAAAACCCAGCACCTGCAAAAACCCAGCACCTGCAAAAACCCAGCACCTGCAAAAACCCAGCACCTGCAAAAACCCAGCACCTGCAAAAACCCAGCACCTGCAAAAACCCAGCACCTGCAAAAACCCAGCACCTGCAAAAACCCAGCACCTGCAAAAACCCAGCACCTGCAAAAACCCAGCACCTGCAAAAACCCAGCACCTGCAAAAACCCAGCACCTGCAAAAACCCAGCACCTGCAAAAACCCAGCACCTGCAAAAACCCAGCACCTGCAAAAACCCAGCACCTGCAAAAACCCAGCACCTGCAAAAACCCAGCACCTGCAAAAACCCAGCACCTGCAAAAACCCAGCACCTGCAAAAACCCAGCACCTGCAAAAACCCAGCACCTGCAAAAACCCAGCACCTGCAAAAACCCAGCACCTGCAAAAACCCAGCACCTGCAAAAACCCAGCACCTGCAAAAACCCAGCACCTGCAAAAACCCAGCACCTGCAAAAACCCAGCACCTGCAAAAACCCAGCACCTGCAAAAACCCAGCACCTGCAAAAACCCAGCACCTGCAAAAACCCAGCACCTGCAAAAACCCAGCACCTGCAAAAACCCAGCACCTGCAAAAACCCAGCACCTGCAAAAACCCAGCACCTGCAAAAACCCAGCACCTGCAAAAACCCAGCACCTGCAAAAACCCAGCACCTGCAAAAACCCAGCACCTGCAAAAACCCAGCACCTGCAAAAACCCAGCACCTGCAAAAACCCAGCACCTGCAAAAACCCAGCACCTGCAAAAACCCAGCACCTGCAAAAACCCAGCACCTGCAAAAACCCAGCACCTGCAAAAACCCAGCACCTGCAAAAACCCAGCACCTGCAAAAACCCAGCACCTGCAAAAACCCAGCACCTGCAAAAACCCAGCACCTGCAAAAACCCAGCACCTGCAAAAACCCAGCACCTGCAAAAACCCAGCACCTGCAAAAACCTAGCATTCGAAATTGAAAAATCGAACCCAACACCTGCAATAACCCAGCAACTGCCTTGCCTTGCCTTCTTCATCTTATCAATCAATTTTTCATCACAATCAAACAACAAAATCCAAAAAACAAAAGCAGAAATTTTTTTTTTTAATTTTTTGCACCTGGGTTCCTATCGTGCTGGGTTTGTAGGAATCCAAACGCGAACCCAGCACGCTTGGGTTCCTTGCGAACCCAGCCTGGGTTCGCAAGGAACCGAACCCAAGCGTGCTGGGTTCACACCGTTCGCACCAAACCCAGGCATGCTGGGTTCGGTGTGAACCCAGACGCGAACCCAGCACGCTTGGGTTCGCTTGGGTTCGCAAGGAACCGAACCCAAGCGTGCTGGGTTCCACCAAACCCAGGCATGCTGGGTTCGGTGCGAACCCAGGCGAACCCAGCATGCTTGGCGAACCCAGCGCCTGGGTGGGCTCGAAGGAACCCAGGCCTGCTGGGTTCCGAGGGGAAAGAGAAGAGAAAGGGGAAGGAGAAAGAGAAAGGG